TGGGTCAGTCTGCTTCCCAGCATACGTTTCTTGGGTGATGGAATCGTAGAAATAAATTCAACTTGCTTTGCTGAGATACTCTGATCCTCCCCAAGGGAGTTGTCCACTTCCCATCTTGGTTCCATTTAACAGCACATTGTTCGGGTCGTTGCTAACATAACTAATTATGCAAGATTTAGGAACAAGCTTTGACGTATTCTATTTGTTGGTAGGAATTAGGAAATTCAGTCTAATCTTTATAACAGTCTGTGCTGTCCCATTAAACAAACCGTGCTCAAATTTTCTAAGTTCTACAAACAACTTCTTTGTTATACCAGGGATTCGGTCCCTTGGTGGATTGTCACCCAGCTGTGGAGGCTGTAGGGGTAGGTGTGACTGGAGGAGAATATGTTGCTTCAGTCAACAACAATCTTGTTAAATCTTTACAGCAGTGAAGGAACCAGACTAAGAAGGATTTCAACATGGGAACCAAGGGATAAGTGGCTAAATATCAAGATTCAGGGAAGCAATAAATGTAGGGAAATAACAAACTTCTTTCAAGAAAGTGCAAAATGTTTCCAATACTCTCTACTAAAGTAGTCTCTTAATAATATTAATAATAATAACAATAATAATCACCTGAGTCAGTCCATAACTTATCAACTTTAGTTTTAACTTTGATAAACAGGCCCTCATCAAATAATCTTACCTTAAATCTGTGTTTGTTCTGAACAATGTATTTTATTTCATTTTTTTAAACTTTTTATCTTGAAAACAAAAAACTTCAGGGCCGGCCCCGTGGCTTAGCGGTTAAGTGCTCGCGCTCTGCTGCTGGCGGCCAGGTTCCATCCCGGGCGCGCACCGACACACCGCTTCTCCGGCCATGCTGAGGCCGCATCCCACATACAGCAACTAGAAGGATGTGCATCTATGACATACAACTATCTGCTGGGGCTTTGGGGGGAAAAATAAATAAATAAAATTAAAAAAAAAAAGAAAACAACTTCAAACTACAAAAAAATGGTAAGAATAGTAAAATAAACTGGAAATATCCTTCACCTAAGATTCACCAAGTATTCATATTTTGTCACATTTGTGCTAACTCTTGATAGATAGATAGATGGATAGATAGATAGAGGTGGGTATAAATCTTTCTGTCATCTATCTATCTGTCTGTCCATCTATGTATCTATATCTGTTGTTATAAGAGCTGAATTATACCAAACACACACACACACACACACACACAATACAGATATATTATTAAGCATTATTCTTTCTGCTGAACCATTTGACACTTTAACATATTTCCTAAAAACAAGGACATACAGTTTTAAAACCACAATATAATACAATGTAATACAATAGAATATATAAGATAATTATCAAATTATATTATTATATTACATTATGTCATTATATTATTATTATATATAATTATCAAATTATGGAAATTTAAAATGCAAACACTACTGTCTAACATATAGTCCATATTCAGATTCACCAATTGTCTCAATTGTGTACCTGATAGCACTCTTTTCCTAATCCAGAATCCCACCCATGATCACACGTGGCATTCAGTTTGGTCTCCTTTCATCTGTATCAGTTCCTCAGGCTTTCTTTTTCTTTCATGCTATTTGCTATTTGTGTGTGTGTGTGTGAGGAAGATTAGCCCTGAGCTAACATCTGTTGCCAATTCTCTTCTTTTTTGCTGAGGAAGATTGGCCCTGGGCTAATATCCGTGCCCATCTTCCTCTACTTTACATGTGGGATGCCTGCCACAGCACGGTTTGACAAGCGGTGCATAGGTCCACGCCTGGGATCCGAGCCGGCAAACCCTGGGCTGCCAAAGTGGAGCACTCGAACTTAATCACTATACCGCTGGGCCAGCCCTGCTATTTGACATTTTAAACATGAAAGTCATATTAATTTTGCAAGGCACTTTTGCTGACAACATTTTTATTATGTCATTTGTGTGACCTTAGGTTTTGTTTTAGAAAATCATTCTTCATAATATGGTGATAGTATATACTTTCATACTAAAAAAAATTTCTGATGGAGATCTTCACCCACAGTCTGTATAATAAAAACCAAAACAATTAGCAGTGTGTATTATTGGTTTCCCATTGTATATCAGTGGATATCTTATTAATGTTTAATCATGTAACACATTTAATTGTAATGTTTAAATATATAAAAATTGTGAAAATACTTTTCGTGACCATTTTGTTTAAACTCCCACACCAAGACAATAACCTCAATAGAGAAAACAGGCAAAAGCTGTGAACAGGAAATTTATATAAGAGATAACCCAAAAAACGATTGAACATGAAGAGATGTTCAATTACATCAGTAATTCAAGAAATGCAAATTATGACAATAATGAGCGATTACTTTGCACCTATTGTATTGGCAAAAATTTGAAAACTATGTAATGCCAGTGTCCCTTCTGTAGCTGATCGGACCATGGAGTGGAACCTAATATAGGGCAGTCCAGGTATACAACTGCTGGCAACTTATGAGGTATTTCATCTGGGTCAGAAAGATGGGCTGCAAAAATCATATATGTTGCTTGGGAAACTGTATTTAGAAATTTTTATTTTTTTAAGTTGGGAGGGAGAATGAAAGAGAGATGAGGGAGAACAGAGCCAGGGGACCAGATTGACACTGAGGGGCCATGACAGCTAGTTATGAGGGGAGGGGTTAGGGGCAGGTGAAGAAGCCAAAGATCATAGAAAAAACAGAGCCCCAGCACAGAGTGATATATAACGATAAATAAAGATGCCGTGAGAGACACCATGGGAGCACAGAGATTAGTCTCAGTTCCTGCCAGCTTTCCAGTTTCTGGTCCTGTGCAGCTTTGGTGTTTTCCAGTTCTCTTCTTCGGGGGAGTGGCAGCTTGAGGTTTAGTAGGGCAAGAAGATACAAGATAAAAGAAGAAGGCCTTCAAAATCCCAAAGGAAAATGACTTCAAGAGTCTTATACCTAGCTAAACAATCAATCAACCATGAGGGTAGAATAAAGACATTTTCAGACATACAATGAAAACAAAAGCCACCCTAAAACACAAAATGAACTTAGGATGTTTCTTGATAACTTTTTTAACATGCCAACATTTAATTGAAATCACTTAAATTCTTCTGAAGTTATAGTAAGTCGATAAATGTATGAAATTGAAAAGGTGAATTAAAACACAGCCCTCACACTATCCAGTCATTCAGCACCTGTTCAGACAGGAGTTTTGGTCCTCATTCAAAATGTACTGTGAAATTAGAATATTCCGAGCATGGAAGACAAATGAGACGTGGACCAGGTTGGCTTTTGGGGAGTTGACAGAGCAGCATGAAAGTCGGACATGAAAGGAAAACTGCTACTAAGTCAACAGGGCAGGACGAGTGTGTGATAGTTGATCCAGATCCCAGGGACAGTGGACGCACAGAGGAGGTCAAACTCTTTGCCCCCCACTGCAAACTACCTGGAGTGTCGTTAGTGAGGTGGTCTATTTGAGCAAGGTGTTGAAAGATAAAGTAGGAGGCAGATTGGGATGGAGGTAAAAGGTGCCTGGGGGATGGGGTCCGGTTGAGAAGCTTTCAGATAGCACGAACAGTTGCAAGGCAAGGAAGCAAGAAATAGGATGTAATTCATGATTACTGAAACATGGGGAGTAAAGAATAGAATATGAGGCTGAAATTGAAGGCAGGGGCAAGTTCAGGAGCAGCAAAGTCAAAAATAACTAAGAGAAGGTCACATAAATGAGAACAGGTGAGCAGATTTAAAACAATATGAAACGGTGAGACTGTACCAAGCAGAAAGGCCCACCCACTTTTCTTCAGTAGATATGCTAACCCTGAGCCTGGCTCAAACCTCCCAAATGGGAATCTCACTGGAGAGGAAAGGGAAATGGGATCCCCAAATCTGCATCCACAGGATTCTTATGCATACTGAAGTTGGGGAATTGCCACTGAAGGCCAGAGTGCCTATGTGGGTAGGGAAACACAATACCTACAAAATACTAAATCAGTGACTACTAACAAAGGAAGCATCTATGTTTAGAAGTCCGAAGTGTTAACACAACTATTTCAAACAGGTTGCTAGAAAGAAAAATAAATGGGATGGTGTCTTGCATATGTACCAAATAGAATATGACTGGTGACAATATTAAAGACAAGACTGGAGATTTTGCAGAAGGTGTAAATGGTTAATGGCATTAATCATGGGAAATTCCCTGAAGAGGTGAAATTTTAAGGAATGATGGTGTGTGATCCATCTGAGGAAGTAAAACTATTCTTGTCTTGGAGGCAATGTTTAAAGCAAAGGATTTTTAATTTGGTTTGGATTTTTTTAAGTATTTTTAAACTACAAATAAATTATAATTCAGTTAAAGAATCATTTTCTGCCTTAGTAAACAATAGGAATTTTTAAAATCCTATTTTAAATTGTGTAGTACATAAAAACTGTGTTAAAATAGTTAGATAAATGGAATCTGTAGGTAACATCTTATTAAAATATCCTAACTAATTTGGTTGTTATTTTGGCCACATATAAGGACTTTGTTTCAGTTTAGTGGCTGCAAGATTATAATTTAAAATCAAAAAGTATAACTGCCCACATTTGCCAATCCCCCTTACGTTTTTTGTATGAGGGGAAGGTACAACCTGTTTTGACAATGGTTCCAATTAGTGCCTCTGCAGCGATTTGCATGTTATTAACCTGGATAGACCCGAATCTATCTGTTGAGAGGGGCTTCCCTTTCTCAAATTCACATGTAGCACAGGCTCATATAACAAAAGTTTCTCTTGAAAGCTGAAAACTCAGAGCACTTGTACTATGGGTGAAATATTTAGAAGGAGGACAGAAGCTACCGTCCTCAAAAAATGATGAGTGGTGAAAAGAAATTAACAAGCTGTGTTGGTGCGCTGCACATGATCGGCCATGCTTGCTGTCTAAGTCTGTCTGTTGGTTGTTGCTATGACTACGAAAAGCCAGTGGAACCCAATGAGCTGTCTGCAGCAGCGCTGGGAGGACCAGCCATTTTACTTATGGAAAACAGTGGGGCATATTCTGCTGACCTTTACCCTGCAAGAAGCATTTTTGAAAAATCTATTCAGAAAAGAGAGAAGTAATGGGCATGTTAGTATACAATTCTTCCAGCCACGCGTGCCTGCAAGCTGCCGTTTGGACAAGCTGTTGACTGCTATTCCTATGAGCTGATTTGAGAAAGTGGAATGCAGAGTGATAATGCTGCATATCTGCTATCAGACCGCAGAAAAGGTTTTTGTGTTGGGAAGGCAAGCCTTCCCTGCAATATTGTCTCAGCAGCTCTCTAGCTGCTTACTCGAAGAATAGTGACCCGAAAGGAGGGTGTTACCGTCTGTGAACACTGGACTTGTGTGTGGCTGCTGCATGTGAGCGGCAGGTCTGAAGTAGCAGGTGCGTGCTCCGATGGGCACTGGACTGTAACACAGGCTGACGCGCTCGGGTTTACCTGCTTCCTGTTAACAGATTGTTGGCTCAGAGAGCATCTGCCCACACGCTGAGGCCAAGGCTGAGAAGGAGGTCCCTGTGTATCCACTTGACTGACAGAGGTAAGCTCTTTTGCCTTTTTTAAAGCACAGCCTAACAATAACTTGGAGCAAAACTTAACCTAAAAGATTTACATTCATGTGTGATCTGGCTTTACCAAGGAAGCGCGCGCGCATGCACACCACACACACACACACACACACACACACACACACGTTTCCACAAAATAGTGTCAGAGACATAGAGTTGTTTCCGTGAGTTTACATTCTAGAAATCATATGATAAAAAACATTACTAATATGCCTTGGGGTTTAAAATAAATATTTACTGTTTTAACAAACCGTGATGGCTGGTCATTCTGGAGAGTCTTGGTAACCAACAACCTTTCTCCCTTACAAACAATGGATTCTTTTACTAACCGCACTTTGACATAAATTGCATGGAAAATCGGCAGCTCGAAAATTGTGAAGCATTTGTTCTTAAGCCTTATAAATGATTTAACTCTTCACATACCATGTATACGCTTAAATTAAGAAATTCTGTTCCCTGTGTAGGTCATTATAGCTGGTGGGTCACGCACTTCCTTCTTCTGAATTCAGAATCTTGGTGTGCTGTTTGATTTCATTTAGGGTAGTTGTAAAGCAAATAGTGTAGATACTGGAAGCAGTTCACACGTCTTTTCCAAGTATCCTGCATGCCACGCTAGCCCAGAGCACAACACCCCCATTGTGCTCCCCCGGCTCGGAATCCAGGGAAAGAAAGGAAGTGAATCTCCACATTGATTTCCAGCAAAGCTATAGTATGTGGTGGCAAAACTTCTTTTATTGCACAATTTTTCTCACAAGCAGATAGCTTTCAGAGAGAGTGAAACCAAAAACACCACACACCTCCTACAAATATACACTCATACTTGCAGAGGATGTTTGCTGTCAGTTGCTTTGTGATAATAACACAGACTTTGAATTGTAGTAGAAATTGCCCCTTAGTGAGTATTTCTTTGATTTATAGTCTCTTAGGCACAAAGCTGTTACTGTGAATTGAAATTGGTCAGTCAAATCAAAATCCTGGTAAGAAAATGACCAAACATTGATTAAATTCTGTTTCAGCAAAATTTCAGCTTTACCTAAGTCAGTTCTATTGTTGGTCTACCAGAAACGTCAGATATTTACAATGCTCTTGAAAATATTTAATGAAAAATACTTTGTTGAAAACTTGGAATAAAAACCTCTATCTACTAAGAAGTGAAATACCATGAAATGTAAGATTAAATCATATCTGAGATCTACTTCTAAGTAATATATTTCTATTTGCTAGATTTTTCCCCAAAATATAGGTGACATGAGAGTCGCTTTTTAATTTTAAGTGTAATATAATATTCAGGCTACATATGAGCATGCATCTCCTGTTTCACAGATAGAGCAGTATGCCCTCAGATAAGAGAATTATAAAGTGTAGGGAGAATATTGTTCAAAACTTCTGTACTAAATGTCACCAATGTTCAAGATATAAAGATGCAGACTAAGCCTTCTCAGTCTAGATAATCGTGTCCATATGTTTACTGATAAAAACAAATAGGAATATGCCTATTTGTGCGTGTGAGACATTGTATGGGATAAAATGATGACGTGACAGCATTGTACTTCACTTATGTTTAACTTTCAAAGGAAAGCTTCATGAACAGATTTAGTCGTGAGTCAAATTCTATAAATAAAAATATCAGCCAAGGGAGTGATTCTGTTATAGTGGAAAGAAAAGTAGAAAAAGTCTCTCTCCAATTTAATTCCCTTCAGAGCTTTGCACTGCAAAATTCTTAAAATTAACACAGTGAAAAGACCTGCAGCAAGAAAGCGATTTTGGGGGGCTTTTAAAAGAACAAGGAGTGGAAATGCCTAAGGCACACCTGCCTGCCGTGCCCTGCTGCCTTTGTCGTGGCACCATGTGGTACAGGAGCCTTACCCCAAGGGAGGAGGGATGCACAAACTTATACCTGTGTTCTTTTTTCCTACATTAATAACCTTTTGAAGTGATAGGCCATGAAAGATTGGCATTCTAAGTGCACTGGTGCACAACACATCTACATAGTTATTAATTCAACAATTTTGAGAGCCAGATGCAGAGATGTAATCCCTGTCCTTCAAGAATGCACTTTGATTTTTGTCTATTTATGTACCCTATTTTCTGCCACTTCCCAGATCACCTGCTAACAATATCAGATACTTTGTAATTTCCCAGATGCACTGTATCTAACTTTTGCAAAGCCAGTCCTCTTTGTATAGACTTTTTCTTCAAATCTCCCCCAGTGGCAGCCGCCTGTCATGCATCCTTCAAAATGCAGCTAGGATGTTTCCCCAGACACTGCCTCACCTTCTCCTTCGGCTCCATCTGGATCTTACGTCTGTAGTTCTGTCTACTGCACCATATTGCATTTGTCTCTGCTCACAGCCTTCCAGAGTCTTCCTGACCTCTGAATGTACTTTGTCCAGTGTCTAGAACTTGGCATTCAGACATTGTACTAGGAACCTCGGACTTCACTATTTTCCTATTAGTTACTGTAATTATAGGCTTGCTCTCAAAATAGAAGTCTTATTATCTATTATACTGCCTTTCATCAGAGAAACTCAAAGCATTTAAAAACTTCAACGAAGGTTTAATTTCCCTGATATGAAAGGATGGCTTCAGGATCATCCTTTGATAAAAGCTATAAAACCCTATAGGCTATCAGAATTTTCTGAGGGAAAATTTTATAACATATAAATTTTAAACAAAAACAGCTTTGAAAGCTTTAGTATCTAGAAGATGCTGTTTCTCTATTTACAGCTGTTATAACATTTTTAGATGAAAATAAGTTGAGTAAGTTTTTCTATTAGAAGTTTGCTCTAAAATCAGGCCACTTAAAATTAATGTTGAATTGATGGTGATTAGTAGCTGATTATTAACGAAGATACTTATGGAACTATTTTTCATACTGAAGCCAGAAGAAAGCAGAGGTCATGAACTGGAAAAAGACCAAGTAATTGAAATAAAGTCTACAATTTTAGAATTTCTTTTCATTTTCCTAAATAAACCTGAAAAGTTACTGATAATAACTATTTACATTTTACTTCCCTACAACTTGAGTTCCTGAATGAGGGAAAGAATATTCTGTTAGTATCTCTCTTGATACAGACATACTTTTGGGTATAGAGACTTCCCACCCTTTTTCTATATTAAATGGCATCATTATTATTTTTTTAAATAAGCTTAAATTTTTATAGCTTTTTAATGGAAAAATTGCCACAATGCTGTAATAAAAAATAAGAATATATCGGGAATTCTATTAAGATGTAATAATATGTAATCCATTGTCTCCAAGATGCCCATGTTGAAACCAAAAGTTGTAATTAATTTTTGTACATAAAGTAGCAAAGATTAGGAAGTTTAAAATATCCAAATGTTTGGAATTAGAAAACAAAATATTTAGGAAACCACTTAAATTCCTACTTCTAGATATTTTTATATTATATTCCAGCATTGAATTATATAATAAAAACAAGATAAATAGCAACTTTTAATTATCATGCTGTCCTGTAAAAGTTTATTTTGGCTATCCTCCAGCTGATTTGAACGTATAGCATGCTAATTCAATAATAGCTTAAGTTGAAATGAGTTCTGTTTGTCTTAGAGACTAATCATGTTTAATCAATTATTTTAAACCATATATAGTAATTAGAATTCAGGAAATATGAGTCTAAATTATTTGTGCATCATTTTTAATACTTTATATTTTAGGTAAGTTATATATTATTTTGAAGACCTAAATTATGTATTACTATATTTGAAATTCAAATGAAATGAGTGCCTTCTTGTTGCGTTTTATAATGAAGTATTGTAATATATAATTGTATTAGATAATTTTCTAAAAGTTCCACGAACTAATAATTTAATTATGGATGTCTATTAAATTCTGAACTATCACTGCAAAGAGTTTTACAGAGATTTTCCAAATGTCTTTATCTACATTACTTCTGAAAAAGTTAAGACATATACATTTAGTTATGAAGAAACACTTAACTATTGAGTTCTAAATATTGACAAATAAGAACTCTCATTCCAGCTTATGCTCAATTAAGATGATCTTATTTGAATAAATAACACAGAACCAGCAAAGACAGGTTTTTATTTTGAATTTTGACAACATGACATATTCACATAGAACTAATACTAACTTTATTGTGCCCTAGTCTTCAAAACAGAAATGCACTATTTTACCAACTAGGAAATTTAGCCCAAAAGGCAGTGGTTTCCTCTTCCCAGTACAGGTCAGGTATGCATAGATCCAGCATTAATTCTGCACCTTAGAACAGCATTATTTGAGCAAGAAGTCCAGAAAGTTTTCCCTTTTCCTGAGTCTAACCAAAAGTCTCACTTTCAAGGAAAATTTTCCTACCTTAAGAAAAAAAAAATCTAGTAATGTTCTCATTATATTTCCTAATTTCTTTTTAGATTCATGTTATAATTTAAGAAAAATTTATTTTTTAATAAAAAATATTATATGAATATTTCAGTGATATTTTTGTTTTCTTGTACTATTGCCTACTTCTTAAGTTTTAGACTTTTTATTAACCTAGACAATCAATCTTCTAGCTTTCCTTTGAGATGTTTTCTCAATAGTGGGCGTAAATTGTGTATCAAAAATACTTTCTTATAATGAATCCTATCCTCTGCTTTAAGTGGGAGAATTAGTCCAATCAATGTAGAGATAATTCTTCTTTATAGATTTCTTTCCCTAGTAAATTTTTTCAGGAACGACTGAATGTGAGGGGCAGCATAAACCCCTCAGACTTCCAATCTTCTGATGTTCTACTCAATTCGGCATCCTTTAGAGACTAATGTGGTTTTAAGATCAGCCATAAGCACTTCAAAAAACTATAGCAAAAATAGCCTTCTAACCAAGAGCTGCAGCGCTTGTTAAAATCTAAGAGTACAAGCAGGGAGTGGCATGAAGAATGGTAAGTTTTTTGAATGCACCGAAAAACTATATGCAAATGAGACATTCTAAGGGATTTTGGGCCATGTGGGAGAA